TATAGCTGGGACAGCACTTCGAGGCTGGGACAGCAGGGAGGGTTTAGAGGGTTTAATTGATATGTCTGGAACGGAGGAGGACGCAACTCTGAGCGCGAGGTTGGATGAGGCGCTACGAGCTATCGAGGAGGCCAAGGCTGAGATGAAGGAGGCCAAAGCTGAGACGGAGGAGCTTAGGGCAGCACAGCGGCGTCTGCGGGTGCACCTGCCGGCAGCAGCTCAGGAGGCGACGGTCTAGTTGCTCCTGGAGGGGCTTCATCTGCACCGGTGAGGCCAATGTGGCCAGGCGGGGTGAGTCATGATGGCGGTACTGGGGTGCCGGGCTTGCCTCTGGGAGGTACAATTGTCAGAACTCCTGTGCCTAGAATCCCGCCTAATTGCACCGCCGACACTTTTCTCAGTTGGCGGAGACGCTTTCTGGCCTACGTGGACAACCACAATCTCCAGCACACAATCTTCGGCAGTGCTGAGGTTCCCGTTGTCAGTTGTCAGGATGAAGGATACTTGACACGCCAGTATGGTGCACAGCTGGTTGTTGAGCACAAGAGGACATGGAGTTTTATCTTGGAGGCAGCGGTGGGGGCCCCATTTGAGAACAACCTGTACTCTTGCCATTCCGTGGCAGAGGCGTGGAGGATGATGGAGGATTGGTTTTTGCCGAGCCACCCAGGTGATTGTCAGCTCCTCGTCGCCGAGCTAGACAGTATAACCATGAGTGATGATGAGGACCCCAAGCTTTTCTTCTCGCGCGTCGCACAACTGGAGACCAAGTTACGGGCTGTGGGCATTGCTAAGAGTGACCAGGAAGTTGTGCAGATCCTTGTGCGCCAACTCCCCGCACGCTACGATGTCGAGAAGCGCACTAGTCTTTCCAAGCGTGATTTAACCCGCGCTGAGTTGCAGGACGTCGTGCGTGGTCGATATGCCACGCTCAAGGCCAGCGAGATGAGGGAGCGAGGGTCGGCAGCTTCGACGCCGGCGGTTTCTGTCAACCCCCATGCTCTTGTTGTGGGCCGTGGCTTTGGACACGGCGGCAACGGGGGGAGCGGGGGGGCGGAGGCCAAGAGCGGAATGGCAACAACGGCGACGGCCGCGGGCAACACTGGTCCTCTGGGGGCGGTGTTGTCCAACAGCAACAGCCGCAGTTGCAGGTGCAGCAATACCGGCAGCCGCAACAGCCGCAGCGACACATGCAACAGCCGAACCAACAGCCGCAGCGGCAGGTGCAACAGTCGTACCCACAGCCGCAGCAGCAGATGCGACAGCAGCAGCCGTACCAACAGCAGTCGCAGATGCAGCCATACCGGCAGTCGCAGCAGCAGCCGCAGCAGCAGCGGCAGCAGCCCGCTCTGAACGGTGTTGGTGGCATCTACGATTGCGGTAGTAATGCCGTGTATCATCAGCCGGAATCACTACCTCCACCTGGCGCGCCGATGGGCACAGTGCACAGATGCGGCCGCTGTGGAAGGCACGGTCACCACGCCATAGATTGCGCCGCCCCCCGCAGGTTCGAGGGCACGTGCGGTGCATGCGGCCAGTACGGTCACATGTGGCGCAACTGTGCCAAGAGCAACCGGCACCCCCACCTCAACGTCGTCACTTCTGCNCCCCCGCAGGTTCGAGGGCAGGTGCGGTGCATGCGGCCAGTACGGTCACATGTGGCGCAACTGTGCGTGGAGCAACCGGCACCCCCACCTCAACGTCGTCACTTCTGCTGGTGCACTCGGTCCGGAGTACGCGTACACCACCGCGGATACATCGGCCGTCCAATTTCGTGATGTCCCGGCGGCCGATGGCGTATACTACAGTGACACCATGCTGGCCGGCGCTGGTGGCGGCGGCAACGGTGGTGGTGGTGCTGGCGGTGGTGGCAGCGGCGGTGACAATGGCGGTGGTGGCGGTGGAGCGATCGTACAGCAGCAGGTAGTGACACCGGGCGAGCCCTACTTTGGTTTTGTCGACATTTTCCACGGCAGCGGTGGCGTGAAAGGTGAAAATGGCGGCGGCAGCGGTGGTAGTGACGCGGCGGGAGCGGGCCCTGAGGCGCTTGGCAACGTCGAGGGTACCTTCGGTGCCGTCTCTTCGCGATGCACCTTGTCTGTTCCGTTACCTCATCCCCCCCCGTGCGCGAACCATCCGACCTTTTCCCACATCGCCCGGGTTCGACGGTCTTCCTTGGAGACACCGGCGCCGTAGTCCACGTGGTCCCTTCTGGGGAAAAGGTGTACAACAGGCGCCCGCCGCTCCCGGAGGAGCGACTACTCATGCTTGGCGACGGTAAGCACATCCCGGTAGAGTTTTTCGGTGACTTGGATGTGATCTTCCACTGCCCTGAGGACGTGCGCGTCACCCTGCAGAATGTTGGTGTGGTACCGGGTTTGGCGCTAGATATTCTGTCGCTGAACAAGATCCAGGATCGCCATGAGATCAAGCTTAACCGGCATGGAGCATCGATGTTGGGGGGGCGAGTGCGCATGACAAAACTCCCTCACGGGAATTACATCCAGGGGACTCGCGTTGATCCACTGCCTCAACGCGAGTCACCTTTTCAGCCCCCCGCGATGGTTGCGGCGATGCTACGGCCTGGCACGCAATCCAGCATCGACTACAACGCTCTTCACTGCTCCCTCGGTCATGCCAATTCCAAGACGCTGTACGAGACTGCCAAGCAGATGGGTATCAAGGTGACCGGCACTCCGGAGTACTGCGATGGATGTGCGGAGTCGAAGGCGATTCAGCGCTCGGTCCCCAAGGTCATCTCCCCCTCCCGCCGGACGACGCGGCCTCTTGAGCGTGTCGCGATGGACCTAGCCGGTCCGTTCGGCCAATCCAGCGGCGGTGCCAAGTACGTGATGCAGATCCTGGACCACCATACCAACTACGGATGGATTTGCTTTCTGCGGGAGAAGAGCGGTACAAACGTGGTTGCGGCCTTTCGTGCGTGGTATGCCTCCATCAAATCGCTCTTGGCTACTCACGGGGGGCTGGGCTGTGTTCTGACCGACAACGGCACGGAGTGGGTCAACGGGGAGTTTCGAGGGCTGCTGGCGGAGCTGAACATTACGCGGGAGCTCACGGCGGCCGGCCCAAGAGCAACGGTCATGTGGAGCGGAGGATTGCACTAGTGACNACTACAGATGGATTTGCTTTCTGCGGGAGAAGAGCGGTACAAACGTGGTTGCGGTCTTTCGTGCGTGGTATGCCTCCATCAAATCGCTCTTGGCTACTCACGGGGGGCTGGGCTGTGTTCTGACCGACAACGGTACGGAGTGGGTCAACGCGGAGTTTCGGGGGCTGCTGGCGGAGCTGAACATTACGCGGGAGCTCACGGCGGTCGACGGGCCCAAGAGCAACGGTCGTGTGGAGCGGAGGATTGCACTAGTGATGGAGGGGGGCAAGGCTGCGTTTCTGGAGTTCCCGAAGCTTTTCCCCGGAGTTACGTTCCCGACCAAGGCGCTGTCCTTCCGGGCCGTCTGGCCCGAGGCCTTCGCGTGGATGAACGACTCTCTGACCATCGCAGCGGAGGTGAACAAGGAAGACAAGCGGTGCCCGGAAGCTAAGCTGTACGGCAGGAGGAGGATCCGAGTGCTTCTGCCGTTCATGATGCCCGGCTTCCGTCACCGTCACCGCCCGTCCAAGATGCACAGCAAGGGGGAGCGGTGCTTCTATCTGAACTCAGGCCAGGATCATTCCTCTACGACGCACAAGATCATCACGCCGGCTGGGGTGCCCACCTACTCCGAACACTGCACCTTCGGCTTCAGCAGCCAGGGCTTTCGAGGAGATGGGCGTTCTTGGGGGTCGGAAGGGGGAATGGCCGGGGTCCCCGCGGTGGCGGCCGGAGCGGCAGCATCGGCGGCAGCTCCAGCGGCGACGGCGGCGACCTCCGGTGGCAGTGTTCCCCCCGCGGCGGCGGCGGGGGGGATGGCCGGAGGCCCCGCGGTGGCGGCCGGAGCAGCAGCATCGGAGGCAGCTCCAGTGGCGACGGCGGCGACCTCCAGTGGCATTGTTCCCCCCGCGGCGGCGGCGGGGGGAATGGCCGGAG